GAGATGAGACCACAGTGGAAGGAGCAGGGAGGACATGGAGGAAGCTGTTTTAGTGTGGGAATGAAATTTGGGTTTATGAAACTGGGAAGAAAAACGACTGCCTTACGTGGAGAATTGAAAAGTGTCTGGAGCACCGCAAAGAGGAGAGGTACACAAAAATTACACAAACAGAAAAAAGCATTAATCCTACTAACTAACACACACACACACACACACACACACACACACACACACACACACACACACACACACACACACACAATGAAGCTCATGAAGATCAAACAGCATTTTAAGCGTTTCTGTTACCATCGTCTTGTCCGGTTCACTTAGCAGCTTAAGAAGTGATGCACAGACTAGTGAACTAGTATTATATATTGGGCAAAAATGACTGAACCATAGCAGGGGTGAACAGAGTGCTGCAGGGGGTCAGATGAGTGGAGACTAATAGATTATTGAGGTTCTTGTTCCTGATGTGTGGGGGAGGTCTTATCATGATGCACATCTGGGTACATGGAAAAAACTCATCATCTAATAGGATATTGCTGTTGTGTGAGGTGTGACTGCTGGATGAACATTTACTTGGCTGATGCATTTTCTTTTGGTACCACTTTGAACCTGCCAGTTTTGATCTATTCTAAGAGAGTACGCTTAGACAACTTCTAAAACTAGGCCTTCATATTGTTTTTGATTTTAACAGTGCACTGAGATTTTTTGTTCGGCAATTTTCTCTTTTTCAAGCAGGTCTGCAAGATCTGGATCGAAAGCTCTACAGGACATGTTGATCAATCGCAAGTGAGCTTCTCCAAAATGAAAATGGGCTCAGGAGGAAGCCACTTATTTGGGACAATCAGAAAGTCCCTGCCAAAAAGGACTCAGCGAGGTGATCCAGTCTAAATTATTTTTTCTTTTTTGAAATGGCGTCATTGCTGGCAGTAGAAACTTATTGCGTCACGAGAGGTTCTACTGTCAGCAAATAACAAATGGGGGCTGACTGGACTGACAAAAGCTTGACTGAGTTGACACCAGTATGCAAGCTTGCACCTCCACCTCGACCTGACAAAAGGGTGGATGTTTGTATGTTTCTTTTTACAGGAGCAGAAAGGGGACAGCAGCAGGTTGCATGAGCTGACTTAACCTCTTAAATGCCACTTTCTGTGTCTGTGAATTTACCAGCAGTGTCTTATTCATGACCTTGTATTGTTTACAGTGCAGAGGTCACTGTGAGAAAGTGTGCATACAGATGTGCTGCGCTAACATCCACATCACTTTTTCCACAGCAGAGGGTTGATCGTGTGATTTACAGCAGGACACACCGCTGGCTAATGTCTTTTTTTCTTATGACGGGGTTACAGGCCTGGAGTGAAGCTACTCCAGGGGAGAGGCCCTGGAAGTTTTAAGAGACAATGCACAACTTCATTGTGCATGTGAGAGCTTAGATTGTGGGGATCAAAGGGTGGGAGTGTACAGGAATTTCTTTTACTTCTGTATTAATCACATTATTTTGTTGTATGATGCCTTGGTGCCACTGGATTTAACATGTTCACACTCATGGTGGGGGTGTAGTAAGGAAGTTGGGGGAAGCAGACGACTCCACAGGAAGAGTCTTTTGTGTCTTCGAGGACTCCGGTAGGCAGCAAGGGAGTGTGAAGCTTATGGTGTGAAACAGCTGTGCACTGCCTTTTGTTCCTGGAGAAGGTTTTTAACTGAGAGCCATGCTGGGCTCAGACTCTGCTGACCCTGCGGTCATGCAGGCTCCACCAAGCCTGGTTGTCTGTTCTTTGTGTGTTTGATTAAAGAATGTTAGCTGCAGCTCTCCGCTCGTCTGCAGGCTTTATTTAATGGAAAACTTCCACAACAAAGGTGCTGCGCAGTATCTTAGCTGTTCCTAGGACTGCGCTCTTCTGGAAGGAGATCTTAGATGTTGTTCCTGGGATCTGCTGGAGCCACTCGCCCAGTATGGGGATCATGGCACCAACTGTTCTGATTACCACTGGGACCACCGTTACCTTCAGCCTCCACATCTTCTCCAGCTCTTCTCTGAGCCCTTGGTACTTCTCCAGCTTCTGTTCCTTCTTCCTGATGTTGCTGTCATTCGGTATCGCTACATCGATCACTACGGCCGTCTTCTTCTGCTTGTCTACAGATACTATGTCACCACCATTTTGTCCGTCTGGATCAACTTGAAAAACCATTTTAATGTCTTAATACAATGTGAGCAAAAATGGAAAATAGCTGAATCCATGTTCTCGGTTTTGATGTATGCAGAGACAGAACAATAGAATATCAAGTCATTGTTCTTTGACAATGACAATAAATAAATAAATACTTGACTTGAAGTCGGGATGTATTTTGTTCTGATGTTGAAAAGAAGATTGCATCTCTAACAGTTACACTAACAATGCTTATCTTCTGACTTTTAAGGTCTCAACAATGTATTACAGTGATCACTTAAATGCATTTAGTATTGAGGATGGATTGGATGCCTTCACACTCCTCTGTGTAGATGATCTGGTGTACTATAGACTTTACAATAGGCAATTTTCAAATGACACTGTTGACTAAATGTACATTGTCCCATATTTTGTATAAGTTACACCAGTAAACAAACTGGATGATTTACTGTTTGAATACATCTTTGTAAATTAATCTCATACATTTTTAATGGGTGTTTGTCATTGATGGCTGTGGTGGGTACAGTGGTTGTAAATACGTTTAATTGCAGTAGTAGAGATGTCAGAGATGAATGCGAGTTCATTGTTATCTGGCAGTGATGACGCTAGTGTTAGAAGATCAGTGCTGTTCAGTGTTAAATTAAACACCAGGTTTAGTGTAAAGTACTACCAACACTATTCAGTGCTAATCTTTTAACACTTAAAACTAGGGCTGTGCGATATGACCGAACTCTCATATCCCGATATAAGACATCTATCGTCCCGACAACGATATTTATCACAAAAAGTTACATTTTCTGTCAATTCTGTGAATCTCGGGCAGCTGAACTTGCGTGAAGTGTTTCCAGCTGGGCGTCGTGTAGCTGGAGTCGAGTGCTACGTAAGTTGTAACTGTAAACACTCTGCATACTATTTCACGTGATTCAGTTTATTTTGAAAATCTCAACAGGCTCTTCAGCTTTATTGTGAAAGGTCCATGAGGAAAATAAACAAGCGGACAGCGTCGTTGTTGCTAACGACAACGCGTAAAAACAGTCCTTTGTCCGTCTGTAGTGTGGTTTTTTAAATATAAGAGAAAGGGAGAACTTTAAGAAACTCTACGGTGACCATCAAAATGATGACAAAAAGTTTATTTTGCGACACCAAGAAACAAACGACAGACGTTTTTCTATTGTCATCCGATATATATCGTTATATGTTGACACTGCTCAGTGTTAGTGTCATGAACACTAGGTCAGTGTTAAACATATAACACGTTGAAAAGTGCTCATTTAAACTCAAGTGTGGACACATACAGACACGTTTCTAGTGTTAACTTTAACACTCAGTGTCAATTCCACAGTGGGGATTTTGCTGTGTAGAGGAAGAGAGGTCGGCACTATTGGCTGATGTGCAAGAGAGCTACAACTAACAGGTGGTGACGGAGAAAATGGACAGGACTTTTGCTTATAGGTGGCGTGATTGTGCAAGAGGCAGGGGCGGGGTTATTTAAGGTCAAAGGTAATTCTGTTCAGCTGCTGCTGATGAGAAGGGCCAAACGGTTTCTACTGTGCTTAATGTAGTTACCTGTTGTGTTTGTGTGAATGGAAATGTCAGGAAAACCAGACATTGCAAAGGAAATAAATGACACATGAATGTGGTGAACTGTGAGTGCTCGTACTAACAAACAATTAGCAACCAGAGCGTCAAAATACAGGATTTAATCGCCACAATAATGAAATATTTGCATGTCTGCATTAATCAATCACGCGATTTATTACTTAAATCAAAGCTGACCAGATTGGTTATGTTGGTAACACATAAGTCACTTATTGGCATCTTAATAATCATTTAGAATTATAAAAAACAAAACAGCTGAGTGGAAAATGTTGACAGAACTGTGTAAACTGAACAGAGACATTGTTGGGTTCCAGTTACTCATATTACCATGAAGTGCTACAAAGCTCGAGTCTCACCTGGTAGGAGAAGAAAGCCAGATTTGTTTGTTTGGCGCCTGTTTGTTGATCACATAGGTGCCGTGGTCTCCACCCAGCTTCACTGTCAGAACACCACTCTGTCAAACAAGGAACAGAAGAAAACGGTTCTGCTTTCATCCGTTACCAAAGCAATTTTGACCAAACATCTACATGGAATATAACTAATCTTAATTTTATTTAACATGTATGTAAAGTTTATCCCAAAAAACCCTTTCTGTTTGATTTTGGTGACTATGACTGAAAAGCTTAAAATGACTGTAGCAATTTACCCGATGTGCTATCAACGCCTGGGTTTAGACAGAGATACAACGATGTATCGTCTGCATACGGTAATAAGAAATTCTGTGTTTTCTGAGAAATGAAGCCTGATGGGAGCATGTAAAGGGAGAATAAAACAGGAACTCCACAAGCGAGTGTAGCAGGGTAACACATGTTACCCAGCATCTCAGAGTATGTTCTGCTCTCTAAGAGGCAAACCATCTTACAGCTGGGCCTCGAATGCCGACGCACGTCTTCAAATGGTTTAATAGGATTGTGTGATCAACTGTGTCAAACGCTGCACTCGGGTCTAGAAGAATTAAAGCAGCCGAAAGCATCGAGCACCTTCAGTAGAGCAGACTGTGTTGCTCTGAAGCCAGACTGAATGTATCCAGAATAGTATCTGAAAATGACAGAACTGACGGGTCCAAACCAGCAGCTTGTTTAGAAGAGGAACAGTTCCATTTCAGACGCTGCTGCTAACAAAGGATGTTCGAAACGTGATGACGACTGTCTTCTCTGAGAAATGGTGTAGGTAACACTTTCACAGGGCAAGTGTCACGTGCATTACTATATCAGTAAGATGGGATAATGAGACTGGTTTGAAGTAGGTGAGAAGGGAGGAACACGTAGGTGGTTCAGAAGGCTCTGGGGACGGGAGCAGAAGACGTTCTCTGATAGGATTCATTTTTCCAGTGAAGAACCTTTGAAAATCCTCACAGGTGTGTGCGGCGGTCTCAGACGTGGCTGTAATGGTGGGATGCAGGACAGAGCTGATTGTGTTGGACAGGACTTTAGGATTCCCAGACTTCTTTGTAATAAAATTCACTTACTCGTTCTGCCTGATAGTTATTCAGACAATCTCTAAACACAACGCTGAGCTTTCTTCCATTTTCATTCTGCTTGACAGCACGAGGGACTTTATTTACCCAAGGCTGAGTTTCTAATTGATGCAGTCTGTGCATTGTTGGTACAAGCTGAACTAAAGCATGCAAGCAGCTCATCACAGTTACTGCGACAAGGAGAAGTTTCATTCAAAGGTGGTTAAAGGAGATTTCAGACGTCATAGGCTGCAGAAAAGAGGCGGCGTGGGTTTGTTTAGGAGATGAGTGAGGGTTGGGGATATCAAACATTATGATTAGATGGACACATCAATCACCTCAACACTGATCACTGAAAGCCCAGATGACAAGATGGGGGTTCTTAACCTTTTTTACCTCGGGGCCCAACCTTTCCACTACAAAGTGGCCCCGGGGCCTCATTCAGATATTAACACTATACTGAATAAACTGGTGTTGCTTTTGGCTTGATTTATATTTAATAACTCAATCAAATCTACTTCATTTTAACAGCTAAAACCTTGTCAAATAAATATGGTACAATACAACAGTGTTTGTGGCAGCCTCAGTGTAATTGTATGTTCATCATTTCGTTTCTGTAAATAAGCATTTAGATCATTCTGCCATCATTTATTACAGCTACCATTAAAGTTCACTTCACAGTTAGCAACCTTTACAACATCCATAGACTTACAGAGAACAGAACATCATAGTCGGCCCCAGTAAAAGCTTCGTCTGTGAGGTCTTCAAAGTAATCAGCCAGAGCGTCCAATGTCTCATCGGCCAGCTTCTCATATGCTGCCGCAGACAGTTCACTTTTGGAGAATGACACAAAGTTATAAATGAGTTCAAGTAGTCAAAGCTTAAGCAATGCTTAAGGAGAAAAACAAAAACCAAAGTATTGGTTACCTTACATGCACGAGGGTGACTTTTTTCTGACTCTGTGAATTCAGGTAGATGGTTTTGCTCCACCTGCAGCCATTAATTCTGCTCCCGAACCACTGAAATAGAAAAACACCAACAAACTTGTTTAATTACTCTTCTCCTTTATGCTCAGCTGGTTTCTGACATTTATGCACCTTATAGAGTATTTATGGCCAACTTTGAAAGTTACAGTTTGTATATTTTCCCATTTGAAGACAGATGATGAAATCACTCGATGTGAACCATTTGTGACACGCACTTTATCCTTAATAAAGTGTTGAATTTGGAGGTGCAAGGCACTCCCTGATTTTGGACTGAGACATAAGCTAATTCTAACCGTAAACTTTGTTTACTTCTTCAAAGGTTCTGTGGGCCCTTCTATGAACTCTGAGCATCAGGTCTTTCCATAGGTTTTCCAGTTGGATTCGGGTCAGGTGATTGGCTGAGCCTGTGGCAGAGTTCAACTTTGGTGTCATCTTTCCAGAATATATTCTCCCAGTATTTCACAGGCTTGTTCCAAACAGATGCAACACACTCATGCAATAAAGAGGATGTTTATTGTGTTACACCATTACTCATTTAAGCTGAATTTTCCATTAATATGGTTTATAGCAGGGATGTCCAAACTCCGGCCCGCGGTCCATTTTTAATTGGCCCGCAAGTAATTTCATAAATAGAATAGAATAAGGCCGCACTTCAACTTTTGCCTGAGTGTATTGCACTTCTTAGTTTTAACACCAGGGGGAGCTGCTGTTGATCAAGTCAGTTGCTCCACCAAAAACGACAATCACAGAAGAAATGTACCCCAAGTTACTAAACAGGTCAGAACCAAAGAAGCGAAAAGTAGAAAAGTGAGTGCAGACATTTTCAGACACGGTGGGAGAGTGAATGTTTCTTCAAAGAACTCAAGGGGACGCGTGTCTGTTTGATCTGCACTGAGCCTGTGGCAGTTATGAAAGAGGATAATGTATGACGTCATTATGAAACCAAACATCAGGCCTGTGCATCTGGTGCTGAGCCAGAGCAGACATTAAAGCTCTGCTGCAGGGTCAGCAACAGTATTTATTTCGTGCTCAACAGGTCCAGGAAAAGGCTCCGATAGCCGCTACACCATCAAACAGTCAATATCTGTAATAATATTCGACTATAGAAGTAACAATATTTCAACAACTCCTCAGTCAGGACGGAGTTTAAACAGGCCTAAATTTGATACAGTTCATATTGATTTGTCACATAGTGTGTGTGAGTGTGTGTGTGTGTGTGTGTGTGTGTGTGTCGTCTCTGTAAGAACCAGACCAAACATACAGCTACAACCCGTCATTAAGTATGTTCAGTTTAAACTAATCACCAGCGAGTAAAAGCTGAACTTACGCTGTGCGACGGCCGGCAGGAGGGATGCAGCGTGCGGTTAATGAACGGACGAAGCCCCGGGAGGTGAGATAATCTCCAGAACTACAGTGGACATAAAGGTCACTGTGAGTGTGGCTCGTATCTACCATTAGCATCATGTTCAGCCATGGACGCAGCTCGTACCTGGTTCCACAGATGCTTCTTCCTCTGCTGCGTCAGCAGGTTGAGCTGACACACGTGTGAGTAAATCCGCGGTGTCTTACACAGCAGACGCATGGTGACGGTCCCGATAAACAGTCCCGGTGTGTTGACAGCCAACGCTGCTTCTTCCTCGTCTGCGGCTTTCTTTCTTTTTCGTCATTTGTTGGCGGTTGGCAGACAGCAAAATGGTGTATTACCGCCCCCTGCCGGTGTGGAGAATGAGTTCGTCTTAAACTAAATATGGCCTGATAATACTCGAGTCCATCTCCACTTCCATATCACCGAGCTTCTGGATCAGCTGTCTTCTTTCAGCATCATATTTCTGACAGTAAAACGTGTTTTCCTCCCATTACTTTTGACATCTTTCTTCCATTTTCTGCTGTGTTCTGCTCTTAATCTCTGTCCTGCTAACACTGATACCCATGGTACCCATAAGGTGGTGACTCTGAGCTCCATGTCGTTGACTCTGTACAGTGTTTGCTGAATCTCTATCAGAATGTCTGACCTGCTGTCTGAGTCACTGTCTTGTAAACTAGCCAATGATGAGTGTGAACATATCACTGATCTTACTGGTCTTGCGTCTTCAGTCCACTGGACAGCTGACAGAACTGAAACGATTTCTGTGCACTAATAAACTGTCACCGATCCTTTTCCTTACTTTGACATGAAACTCAGGAACAATAAATATATCCCGCTTTGCTCGCCTGTCTTCTTTGATGCATCTGTGTGGATTTTGACATAACTGTAACACCGCTCTATATATGCCTGCACTGTACGTGCGTTTAAAATAAAAGCCCTGTTCCTACAGCATCAGAGAGCACTCAGGACCTTCTTACTGTGAGGCAACAGTGCTGATCACCACACCACCGCGTTGCCATAATTGTATCATATTCATAAAAACTATGGCTGTCATAACCTTTAGTTACTTTCCCATCATAAATCAGGGTTCGACATAAGGTGCATCACATCCCTCCTCCCTGCATCAGTCCTGCAGGGTCCTGCAGTCCTGTGGGCCCCGGCTGTCGGGACCCTGCAGGATCTCGTCACACTTTAGTGTCTGATGTCCATGATTTAAGAATCCTCTTTTGCACACTCTCAGTCTTAACTTTTATCACAGCTCAGTCAGATTGGATGTGGAGCGTCTGTGAACAGCAGTTTTCGAGTCTTGCCACAGATGTTCGGTGTGATTTAGACCCAGTACGTGGATATTCTTTGATATAAACCATTACATTGTCTGCTGGAAGGTCAATCTCCACCCCAAGCTCAAGTCCTTTGCAGCCTCCAACAGGTTTTCTGCCACGTGTTTAGCTCCATCCAACTTGATTATCTAATTAGGTGACTTCTAAAGGCAACTGATATCACTGGGTTTTGTTTAGGGGTATCAGAGCACAGGGGGCTGAATACACAACACAATTTTCAGATTTTATCTGCTTAAATTACTTAAGGGATCCAGAAAATGGAGCTCTCAGAAATGAGGAAAAGAAACAGACCAATGAGGAGGCTCGTGGATGCAGTGATGAAGGGCATGCAGTGGGTGAGGAAGAGGGTGATGACCCTCTGTGGGCGACCCTACAGAGAGCAGCTGAAAGAAGAAGAGACAACAGGCCAACTGACTGACCTCCACCACCAGCACCATGAGCGATGTGTGATGGAGTTTGTCATGGTCCTGAGTCTTTGGGGCTGGGGAGGTGTTGCTGTTCTGGTTCTCTGTACGGGTTTGGTCCTGACTTCATGTGAGTCCACTGATTCCCAGCCTGGGTCTCTCTGCTGTTTCCCTGTTTTATTTTGATAGTCTCCTCTCTAATTCTAATCTGTGATTTTGCTTCCTTTGATCTGGATTAGTGTCAGCTGTGGGCTGTTCCCTTTGTTGTCTGTTGTGAGCTCCCTCGTGGTGCGTGACCTTCTGTCAGCCTGTAACTCAGCTTCGTTCCAGTTTTGTTGCTTTGCCATTTCCAGCACATAAAGCTGTGGTTAAGCTTCTGTGTGATGATTTCTTCTGTGGGATCCACACATGTCTGCAGCAGCAATGCTAATGTTGCTGTCACGTGTGCGATTATGGTCAAAGGCAGTCAGCTACTGTTGCATTACCACATGTGCTTTTACTTTTGTGCAGTATTGTAGTGTTTGTGTCAGGATGTGGACACGTTTTTATAAAACCAGCCAAATGTAATCAGTAGTTCTCGAAGTGCAGACTGAATGTTTAACAGCTGAAACGTGTCCTTGTTAGACAAGGAAATGAAATAATTATGAAGCATAAAGTGTGATAAACAGCATGTCTCACACATCAGTGACCGTATGATGGTATTTGTATTCACAGCTCACAGACTGGACGTAGGAGGGGAGGCATTTTAATTTGACTCCAGTGGGCTGTAAAGCTTACATCATTCTGCTGAAAGAAAGAAGTCATGAACTGATTGTTCATGTAAACATACGGATTCATCCTTTAATGTCAGAATAGAAACTGCTGAGCAGAAAGTCTCTTTGATTTGAATCGTCTTTAAGGTCAGTGATGAGTCACTCGCCCCTTTCCGATTGGCCACGTGAGTTTTCCCAGCAGACCCAGCTGTTCTTTCACGATGCTTCCCTGGTGCACGTTCCTGCCTCCTGCAGGTTTACCTTCGACCTGTGAACAGAAGAGTCAGAACAGGTGCCATCATGGCGTCGTTGCACCAAAACAAAGACAGAATAGATTCATTAGATCTCTGTGGTTGGTAGAATTAAATAATGATTATTGACATTCACATTTTAAGTATAACACAATCATTGAAATGAATTATTCATTATTACAATTCATTATAGGGAATTCTTCTGATTTGGAAAACACTGTGACAGCCCTGCAAATATCAGGAGCAGCTCAATAACACAAATCAGGCTGCTTGCTTCAGTGAAGTGCAGCGCTTCTGTTTGACTGGCTGTAGATAAAGAATCATCAGGTGAGAGTTTGTACAAACACAAATACAAATTAGTCTAAGAAGGTGGTTCCCAGACTGTTTCTGCAAGGCCCCCCTTTGTTCTACGAGAACCCCCCC